GAGACGCAATTCAAACGAAAATAGAAGGTGGATTTCTGTTAAATCATACTTATGTGGCAATGAATTCAATTCAGTCCTTGCAGAAGAAGATTCAGCTTCAATCAAGAGTTCTGAAGTCACAATTACACAGTCTCTTCAACAAGATTTCGCCAGTGATAAAGAAGATACCAAGAGTGAAGAAACTGTTGAGAATGCAATAGAGAAAAAACCAAATTCAAACCCAAAACCATTGAATGAAGAAGAAGCAGCTATTATAATTCAATCAGCATATAGAAACTTCAAGGTTAATAACCAATCATTAATTAATTACTTCAATATTTAGTATGTTTAGCCATGCATAAGGAATTAATATTTGTTTTTGCTACACTTTTCAGTTAAGGTGTAAAAATGAAGAAATCGTGAGGTCGGAAACTCGTGAAGAGAAGCTCGATTTATTAACGGAAAGTCCGGATAGGAAATCTATGGCTACATCAGTTGATGTTCAAACTGGAAATTCCAATGAAGTTTTCTCACTTGAAGGAGAAAGTATGAGCATTTACAATCATATTCAGAACAGGAATAGATCAAGAGGAATAAAGCAAAAGGTATAAGTTATACCATAACACAATGTTACTTTGTGAACTAAACTTCATACATTGATATTAAATAAAAGAGTTGTTAACATTTTATCAGAAAACAAAAGGAAAAAAATAGAAGAGTTGTTAGAAATATATAAAGAAGATTCCTCTAGTTTTTTAAACGACTTATAATTTGAAACAGAAGGAGTTCTAAGCTAAATTGAAAATTTTCAGGAAGATTGGGATGATAGCACTGTGAGTAGCAATGTTTCGAAAATGAGAATGCAGAACAGAATGGAGGCAACAACAAGGAGAGAAAGAGCATTGGCTTATGCTTTCTCACAACAGGTAATAAACAAAAAACCATTGATAACAATAAGTGCTTAAGTAATAAGCGCTTAATTAAGTTGTTTATCTGTATTGTTGTAGCTACGAATATGTTCAAAGAGAAAACTAGCAAAACATAACAACATGGAACAAAATATGAGCTGGAGTTGGCTTGAAAGATGGATGGCAACTCGACATCAAGACACTTCATCGGTTGAAAGCCATGCTATGAATCAGTATGAGAATTTCACCAATGATAACAAACTCACTATAAAGACGAGATTTTTAGATGGTGCTGGTGGCGAGGAAAAAGAGAGTTGTGGATCAAATGAAGTGCCGATTCATTTTGATAATTATTCGATAACTTCACATGAAGAAAAGGTTAGCAACTTCAAATTAACAACTACAAAGACAAATTTCAAAGCTAGAAGAACTGTGTCCAGGAGGAAAACTGTACCAAGTTACCAATTTCATGATGAGCATTCAAAGGTTAGAATTTATTCATTAGTATAAAGCACGTATACGTGAAACACGATATTGATACTGATACATCGACACTGATAATTATTTGAAAAAAGTAAATAAATTAAACATAATCATAAGTGTTGGTGTCGATTTCTGACACGGACAATGTCACACAGACACACTTTTATTCAGAGATGTCGGTGCTACTGAGACATAATACATTTTATAAATTTGATTTTTATGTTGTTGCAGGTAAGCATTAAAGATGGTTCAAGCAATGGTAGTAAGGATAGTAAGCAAAAATCAAAGCAAGACGGTAGCAAAACAGAAATGAGTCAAATGGCAATTAGCACTCCCAAAATTTCAAATGAGTGACTTATTCTAATTAATCTACCAAATAAAGTCACCAGATTATGTGTGTCAGAAGAAGAAAAATGACATTTAGCACCCTCAGAGCTTTATAATCAGTGACTTCAAAGTTGTTACATTAATGTGTTAAATAAATTTAACTAGTGTTTCTAATATTGAGATGTAATTAATGGTTGGGTTTTCATTTAGGTTCTAATTCTATCATTCTGTTTGTATAACTTTTTTTTTTGTACAACTGTTTGTATAACTTCGATTGAGTACAGTGTATAATATTAAGTGCATGGAATGAGATGGTTGTTCTGATGATTACTAAATAATGGTTGTTGAGTTAGTTAAAATTGTCGCAAGTAACATAGTTGGTTAAGTATTTTTTCAGTTAGTTGAAGTCTAATGTATACATCTCACTATTATAAACAATAATTTTTTTTAGGTTTATTGAATAATTGATGTATCTGATATATAATAATGATCAGATATATTATTTATTCAATAAATCTAAAAAAAATTGTTGCTTATAATAATAATTGGAGGGTGTAAAAGCTTAGCAAAGATCGAATAAAAATATATATCGTAAGTGAGCCTTTCATCTTGATCATTCACTAATTATCTATCTCATTGTCTTATTCTTCCTTCAACCAACAATTGTTTTATCAAATTGGGATCTTGAGTCAGGTTCCATTTGTCTTAAATTAATCTCAAAACAAAGTGAGTGCAAGTAAGAAAAAATGGCATTGTCAAATCCTATCTACAGTAGTATGTTCCTTGCAAACTTATCGATTCTTGATGGAGAAAATAATGATCTATAGAGTGTAAATATAATGGTGATCTTTAGATTTCAAGATGTGGTTAAAGTGGTTAGAGATGGTGCTCTTGCACTTGAAAGAAATGTCATTGATGCATAAACTATTGCAATAAAAACATACCAAGAAGGCAAGAAGAAATATGAAAAAGAAATGTTCTTGATACACCAACATGATGATTTTGCAATCCTTGAGAAGTGAGAATGCAAAAGAGGCGTGGTGTGCATTGGAGAAAGTCTATGCAGAAGATGAGAAGTTAAAGAAGGTGAAGTTGCAAGCTTTGAGAAGGAAATACTATAAAAATGATGAATAAGCTAATGAAGGTGTATGAAGGAAGGGGAAGACTAATCTTGAAGGCATCACTATCAAATCAAATGACCTTCAAAATTGGAATCAATTTAGTTGAAAATCAATGCACGATGTCAACAATATGATTTAGGCTCTTGAATTCATGGATTTGAGTAAATTGCACCATGAATAGAATGGTAGAGGGTTTTCCATCAATCAAGTTTTCAAAGAAATTTGTGAAGAAAGATACACGTCTAAACAACCAAGAAATCCCTTCAGAGATGAAGTTATTCAGAAACATAAGAAAACTTGAGCTCATCCACTCAAATGTTAATGAATACATACATCTATTTTTGAGTCATTTTGTGTATCAAATGGTGCAAGGCGTTAAGTAATTGCACCTTACACTCCATAACACAATGTCATATCTTAAAAGAATAATAGAACCATTGTAAACATGATTAGAAGTATGTTACCAAATAAGTGAGTGTTTTTTAGATACAAGGAGAAGCAATATCCACTTCCAACCAAACTCTGATTAATAGGTTTCCGACCAAGATATCGAAGGAGCTAACACACTAGGAGGTTTGGTTAGGAATCAAACAATATGTCAACCATTTGAGGATACTTTGTTCATTATGTTTAAGTCATATACCACATGAAGTCGGGAGGAAGATAGATGATAAGGCTCAACCAACAGTGTGATATATTGGATCGAATTCTATTGGGTTGAAGAGTAACTTCTAGTTCGACACGATTTATGCATGTCGTTAAAGTATGTTCACATGCTGGTGTCGAAGACCTACATACTGTAGTTGAAGTGTGTTCTAGTATGTAGGTGTCGAAATGCTAGGGTTGTTAGTATTTCAAATTGGGTCTGTTTATTATGTCCAATTGTTTAAGTTAGTTTGTACCCTAAATTAGCTTGTAATGGCTATTTGAGAAAAAATCCATTAGTTTAGTATGTTAAGTTTATTATAAATAGCATACTAGTCTCTCATCATTGCATACTGCAAATCCTAATTTAGGTTGAGATGGTGATTTGTTATTTTTGTGTACTTGTAATCTTATTCTAAGAGAAAGTAAAGAATAGCAGTTAATAACCAATTCCTTGTTGTTAATCTTGTTTACCATCTTTTCTACCCTTTAAGATTTGTTGTTAATCTTGTTTATCATCTTTTCTACCCTTGAAGGTTTCCCTATAAGAAAACATGTTAGACTTTGTTTCAAAGGTATCGTGTTTCACAACAAATTGGTGCAGTGAGCATGGAGAAGATGCCTTCAACAAAGTATGAGATTGAAAAGTTCACCGGAGTGAACGATGTCGATCTATGCTGCTTAAAGATGAAAGCCCTACTGGTTCAGCAAGGTTGTTTGGAAGCGTTGAAGGGAGAAGCAACCATGAACGTTGTGTTAATGGCAGCTAAGAACATGATGATGATAGAGAAGGCCTACAATGTAATCTTGTTGAGCCTTGGTGATAAGGTTCTTCGACAAGTATCAAAGGAGACGACGGCGGCAGGGTTATGGGTAAAACTTGAAAGTTTGTACATGACCAAATCGCTGATAAATCGACTATACATGAAGTAAGCTTTGTATTCATTCAAGACGATTGAAGACGAAGTATTAGTTGAGCAGTTGGATATATTCATCAAGCTGATTCTTGATCTTGAAAATATTAATGTGAAGATCGATGATGAAGATCAAGCGTTGTTGATGTTGTGCGCTTTGCCCAAATTACATGCTCACTTCAAAGAAACTCTCTTGTATGAAAGGGGATCTCTGACCTTTGAAGAAGTTCAATCAGCCTTGTGTTCTAAGGACTTGAACGAACGAAAGAAGAATAAACCTTCAAAGGTTGGTGAAGTTTTGACCGTTAAGGGAAAATTCTTGCGAAAGGATGGTAAGTTCGACAAGAAGAAAGGTAAAAGTCAACAGAAGTCTTACAGTGGTGAAGCATCGAGTATTCGATGCTATCATTGTAAGAAGGAGGGCCACACAAGAAAAGTGTGCCCTGAACACCTGAAAGATCATGGAGATAAGGATAATGGCAACACAACTATTGCTCAAGATGATTTTGACTCATCTGATATTCTTGTGGTTTTCGAGCAATAACCCGTCGAAGGAGTGGATTATGGATTCTGGGTGCACTTGGCACATGACTCCAAATAAAGACTTGTTCGAAGACTTATGTTACCAAGATGGTAGATCTGTATTGCTGGGAAACAACAAAGCTTGCAAAATTGCAGGTGTTGGATTTATGAGATTCAAGCTCCATGATGAGTCAATAAGGATATTGACTAAAGTCAGGTATGTACCTGATTTGAAGAGAAATTTGATTTCTCTTGGTGAATTCGACAAGAAAGGATATATTTTCCAAGGAGAGAAAAGTATCCTAAGAGTCATGAAGGTGTCGAAGGAAGTCTTGAGAGGCGTGAAGAAACAAGAGTTGTATACCCTTGAGGATAAAGTTGTAAGTGATTCCACAGATGTTGCATCCAAATTTTTTTTGTTGAAGACAGAAATTTGGCACATGAGATTGGGTCATGTCAGTGAAAGGGGTCTGGTCGAATTAGGAAAACAAAATTTTCTTGGAGGAGACAAAGTCGAAAAGCTAAAATTTTTTGAACCCTGTGTATTTGGAAAATCTTGTAGAGTGAAGTTCAACAAAAGCAAACAAAGAACAAATGGATCCATTGATTACATTCATGTTGATCTTTGGGGGCCTGCAAAGTGTCCATCATATTCAAGAGCAAGGTATTTTATATCTATAATAGATGATTATTTCAGAAAGTTATGGATATTCATCCAGAAGACTAAGGATGAAACTTTTGAGAATTTCAAAAGTTGAAACATATGGTCAATAATCAACTGGCAGAAAGGTCGAGAGGTTAAGAACACACAATGTCCTTGAATTTTGCAATGAGGCATTCGAAAACTTTTGTGATGCCTCTGGTATTGCAAGGCACAGAACTACGGAAGGTACTCCACAATAAAATGGTTTGGCTGAAAGGTTTAATCGAACCATCTTAGAAAGACTTAGATGCATGCTGACTAGTGTTAGGTTAAAGAATGTGTTTTGGGTGAGGCTGTTTCAACAGAAACATATATAATAAACATATGTCATTTGATTATGTTAGATATGAAGACACCTGGATAAGTTTGGATGGGACATCCACCAGATCTCAACAAACTAAAAGTATTTGGCTGTGTAGCCTATGCTCACATTAGACAAGACAAGGTCGAACCTAGAGCTTTGAAACACATGTTCATAGGATACCCTGAAGGAGTCAAAGCTCATAGGTTATGGTTCCTAGAGCCAGGTCACATGAGGATTATCACCAGTCAAGATGTAGTTTTCCATGAAGCTGAAATGGATTTAAATAAAACTAATGATGTTGATCGAAGTGCAGAAATATCAGACGGAGAGCTGGAACAGGGAGAGATTCCTGTTGAGGGGGTGTTGCACCGCGAAAAATACATAGAGTCGCCACCGAACTCTATTTATCCTGAAGGAAGGAAAGATATCGAGAGAATCCAAAACAAATGGATAAGATGGTCTTGCAACCAAGAGAAAGGGTAAGGAAGTCAGTTACGCGAGGGGAAGATATTAGCACCCCACGCATCTGTGGTACTCCACGAGATCTACTTAAGTTTGCTCTAATTTAAGAGTGTGTAAAAATCTATGTCTAAAGGTTAATGCTAAGAGGGAATTCATGTGAAATAAAATATGGGAAAATTAAGGAATATTTACAAAGTTTTGCTCGCCTAGGCCCCGCGACCTAATGCCTACGTATCCCTTTCGAGAAATCAGAGCATCGTAGTTTGGCTCACATGTTTCAGTTTGTTGTATGTTTTTTACCTTGAAAAAGGTTTTTAAAAGAAAAGCCGAACGGCAAAATGAAATTTGAATTGGTT